GAACAGAAGAGATAGGCCGAGAGGAGGGGTATGATGAAGTATGGACCGGTCCACGCGCCAGGAGTCACCCTCTGCTTACCCTTCCACTGCCTTATCACACAAGTTCCTTTCTTGTGGTTTATCAGTCAAAAGGAAACAGAAGGAGAGAAGGGAAAGAGAAGTGAGACGAGATAACAAGGATGCCATTTTGCTGGAAGCGCAACTGTATGTGGCCACAACAAGCAGGCCAGGGAGGCTCAGGCGGGGCAAGTCTCTCCCTAATTAGAAAAAATCAATCTTGCTATTCACAGGTAGGCGCCCTTCTTCCTCTTCAGGAAATCGCCTTTCCCTTATTTTGCTTTTTGAAGCGAATAAGACAAACAACAGATAAGAAGAGAGGACAGGGAATGACTAGGTAAAGAGAGGAGCTCTTCAATTTCCTCCCTATCCCTTAAGTTACTTTTCCTTCTTTTCTTCCTTGAAGATGCAGAAAACTAGCAAAAAGGACACCCGATCGCCCATTTTCTTTTCAATTCCCTTCCTTATCTCCTATGCTCTTTTCCTTATTCATTGCAACAGGAGAATACAGGAAAAGGGCCTCCATTCCCCTCTTCTTCCTTTCTTGTGTTTTTGTCATTTAAAGGGGAACAGGAGAAGACAAGGGAAAGAGAAGGAGAGAGCAGAGATAAAAGGAACACAATTCTAATGGGAAGAGCCAAGAAAAGAATAGAAGAGAGATGAACAAAGAAGATGGGGAGACAAAACAAGGCGCAAAGAAGATGGCACTCTTCTTTATCTATCCTCTCGCCCTTCTCTCTCCCTTCCCTCTTTCTTTTCGAAACAGAAAAACTAAAAAGGAAGAACTTGAAAAGGAGAAGGGTAAGGAAAAGAGCAGAAGAGACAGGCCGAAAAGAGGAATATGATGAACTGAAAAGAAGAGAAGACACAAGAAACAAGGAGACGGATAGCACTCTTCTTTATCTATCATCTCTCCCTTCCTTGTCTCTCGCTTTCCCCTCTACAATTAAAAAAATAGGTGCCCTCTCTCCTCTTCAGGAAGCCCCCTTGCCCTTATTTTGTTAGCTTTCTGAAACGACAAGGAAACAACACATAGAAAGAGAGGAAAGGGAATGAAACAATAGGCAGTGGAGCTCTTCCGTGTCTTTACCTATCTCTTTTCTTCTTTTTCTTTTTCATTCAATAAGGAAAAGAAGCTTCCTTTGGTGTGATTTTGAGATTCAAAAGAGAACAAGAGAAGAGAAGGGAGAGAGAAAGGAGAGAGGAGAGATCAAAAGGAAGCAATTTTCATGGGAAAAGCAATGAAAATCATGGAGGAGAAATGAAGACAGGAGACCGGGATCCCCTTGGCACCCTGCAAAAGTCCTGCAAATACCACACAAAATGGAAAAGGGTAGGAACAACATTTGCGGGTCAAAATTTGCCGGGATCCCCTTGGCACCCTGCAAAAGTCCTGCAAATGCCACACAAAACGGAAAAGGGTAGGAACAACATTTGCGGGTCAAAATTTGCCGGGATCCCCTTGGCACCATGCAAAAGTCCTGCAAATGCCACACAAAACGGAAAAGGGTAGGAACAACATTTGCGGGTCAAAATTTGCCGGGATCCCCTTGGCACCCTGCAAAAGTCCTGCAAATACCACACGAAACGGAAAAGGGTAGGAACAACATTTGCGGGTCAAAATTTGCCGGGATCCCCTTGGCACCCTGCAAAAGTCCTGCAAATACCACACAAAACGGAAAAGGGTAGGAACAACATTTGCGGGTCAAAATTTGCCGGGATCCCCTTGGCACCTTGCAAAAGTCCTGCAAATACCACACAAAACGAAAAAGGGTAGGAACAACATTTGCGGGTCAAAATTTGCCGGGATCCCCTTGGCACCCTGCAAAAGTCCTGCAAATGCCACACAAAACGGAAAGGGTAGGAACAACATTTGCGGGTCAAAATTTGCCGGGATCCCCTTGGCACCCTGCAAAAGTCCTGCAAATACCACACAAAACGGAAAAGGGTAGGAACAACATTTGCGGGGCAAAATTTGCCGGGATCCCCTTGGCACCCTGCAAAAGTCCTGCAAATACCACACAAAACGGAAAAGGGTAGGAACAACATTTGCGGGTCAAAATTTGCCGGGATCCCCTTGGCACCCTGCAAAAAGTCCTGCAAATGCCACACAAATCGGAAAAGGGTAGGAACAACATTTGCGGGTCAAAATTTGCCGGGATTCCCTTGGCACCCTGCAAAAGTCCTGCAAATACCACACAAAACGGAAAAGGGTAGGAACAACATTTGCGGGTCAAAATTTGCCGGGCTCCCCTTGGCACCCTGCAAAAGTCCTGCAAATGCCACACAAAACGGAAAAGGGTAGGAACAACACTTGCGGGTCAAAATTTGCCGGGATCCCCTTGGCACCCTGCGAAAGCCCTGCAAATGCCACACAAATCGGAATAGTGTAGGAACAACATTTGCGGGTCAAAATTTGCCGGGATTCCCTTGGCACCCTGCAAAAGTCCTGCAAATACCACACAAAACGAAAAAGGGTAGGAACAACATTTGCGGGTCAAAAGTTGCCGGGATCCCCTTGGCACCCTGCAAAAGTCCTGCAAATACCACACACAACGGAAAAGGGTAGGAACAACATTTGCGGGTCGGGGTTGGGGGGTCAGGAATTAAATAATTTAAATAATTTAAATACCCCAGGGGGGGCGTCCGGGCATTTAAAAAATTTAAATTATTTAATTCCCCGGCTCGTACTTTAGTATTGGGGGGAGGCCCGTGCTCGTAATTCAGTATTGGGGGGAGGCCCGGGCTCGTAATTTAGTGTTGAAGGGGAGGCCCGGGCTCGTGATTTAGTATCGGGGAATTGAAAAATTGATTTCATTTCAATGTCCAGGCGCCCGATTTGGCCAAATTTTGCCGGGCAGCCTCCGGGCAAAATTTGGCCAAATCGAGCCGCGCATTTCTCATGGCATACGAAGGGCAGCCCGATTTGGCCAAATTTTGCCCGGAGGCTGCCCGGCAAAATTTGGCCAAATCGAGCCGCGATAGTTTAAAATAATCTCGGGCCTTCAGAAAGGCGCGGCTCGATTTGGCCAAATTTTGACCGGAGGCTGCCCGGCAAAATTTGGCCAAATCGGGCCCCTGGACATTGACATGAAATCAATCTTTCAATTCCCCGATACCAAATCGGGGGGGGGCCAGGCCCGACCAGGCCCCCCCCCGGAATTAAATAATTTAAATAATTTCAATCCGAAAGGGTTGTTCAGGATTTAATTTATTTAAATTATTTAATTCTGGGAGAGGGAGGGGGCCCGGTGGGCCGGGCCCGATTTAAATAATTTAAATATGAAGCTCCCGAATTAAATATTCATATTTAAATCGTGGCCTTCATATTTAAATTATTTAAATCGGGCCCGGGAATTACATAATTTAAATAATTTAAATAATTTAAATCCTGGAGGGGGGGGGTGCGGGCCTCCTCCCCCAGGAGGAATTAAATAATTTAAATATGAAGGCCTCGATTTAAATATGAATATTTAATTCGGGGCCTTCATATTTAAATTATTTAATTCCTCCTGCAAAAGGAGGCCCGGCCCCCCCCCCCTCCCGGATTTAAATTATTTAAATCATTTAAATTATTTAAATTATTTAATTCCCGGGCCCATTTAAATTATTTAAATTATTTAAATTAGTTAATTCCCGGGCCCGATTTAAATAATTTAAATATGAAGGCCACGATTTAAATATGAATATTTAATTCGGGAGCTTCATATTTAAATTATTTAAATCGGGCCCGGGAATTAAATAATTTAAATAATTTAAATAATTTAAATAATTTAAATATTTTAAATCTTGGAGGGGGGGGGGCCGGGCCTCCTCCCGCAGGAGGAATTAAATAATTTAAATATGAAGGCCCCGAATTAAATATTAATATTTAATTCGGAGCCTTCATATTTAAATTATTTAATTCTTCCTGGGGGAGGAGGTCCGCCCCCCCCCCCTCCAGGATTTAAATTATTTAAATTATTTAAATGATTTAAATTATTTAAATTATTTAATTCCCGGGCCCGATTTAAATAATTTAAATATGAAGGCCACGATTTGAATATGAATATTTAATTCGGGAGCTTCATATTTAAATTATTTAATTCGGGCCCGGGAATTAAATAATTTAAATAATTTAAATCCTGGAGGGGGGTGGGGGGGCGGGCCTCCTCCCGCAGGAAGAATTAAATAATTTAAATATGAAGGCCCCGAATTAAATATGAATATTTAATTCGGGGCCTTCATATTTAAATTATTTAATTCCTCCGCGGGAGGAGGCCCGGCCCCCCCCCCTCCAGGATTTAAATTATTTAAATTATTTAAATTATTTAAATTATTTAAATTATTTAAATTATTTAAATTATTTAAATTATTTAATTCCCGGGCCCGAATTAAATAATTTAAATATGAAGCTCCAGAATTAAATATTCATATTTAAATCGGGGCCTTCATATTTAATTCAGGCCTGGGACCCCCCCTAGGACCTAAAATAGGGTCTATTTGGAAGTTGGCTCTTGTAAATAAGTATACGTTTTGGGGCCTTTTTTCCTCTTGTGAACACGAGTGCCAGCTTCCAAATAAACCCTATTTAAGCTGCACACCGGGGGGGGGGCCCCGTTTAATATTAGGGGGAAGGGATTAGAGGGCTTTGACAGAGGGCCTCGTCAGCAGAAGGCGCCGTCCCTCTAAAGTCAGGGCCCTCGAAGCAGAGGCCTGGAAGTCTCCTTAAGCAAGGTTTTGGGGGCTCGAGTTGCGAACAGTTTTTTTTCTCCTTTCGGAAGCATACCTAGTCGCCGGTTCTTGCGTGGGCTGGGTGTGTGATGGGGGGGGAAGCTTCAGAAGGCCCAGCCTTTCATTTCTTAAGTGCCTTTCTTCAAGCGTTATCCTTCCACAGCCCTTTTCTAGGTTCTCCAGTGGTGAGGGCAAGGTTTCGTTTCTTGGCTCGAGTCGAAGTCGCACAGGCGGCGTTCCTATGCTGGATCACCGTGGCGCTGTTGTGCTTCGCACGCGAGTTGCAGCTCTTGCTGTCAGATGTGTGGTACTTGTCGAACGTTGTGCTCATCCCCGCACTTGCCGCCAATGTTCTGATGTTTGGCCTGGCCATTGACAGGTGGGATTTAAGGCTTAGGGTTTAGGGTTTAGGGTTTAGGGTTTGGGGCAAAAGGGTTTAGGGTTCAGGGTTCAGGGTTTAGGGTTTAGGGTTTAGCGTTGGTTCAAAAACGGGTTTCGGGTTCAGGGTTAAGGTTTTGCACGTAGGCTGTAGCTTCTGGAAGATTCATTGAAACAGCACGGTTGTTTATCGGCTCGTTAGGGTTTAGGGTTTGGGGTTTAGGGTTTAGGGTTTAGGGTTTAGGGTTTAGGGGTATATATAGTTGAGGTCAGCTGGTGATCCCCGTTTCTGAGCTTTCGGTACAAGACACCTTCAACCCTACCTGGGACTCTCTTTACCTACAGTTTTTACCTGTTATACCTACGAACAGGGTGTTACTCCCAAACTGTAGGTTAATAGAGTCCCAGGTAAACCCTAAACCCTAAACCCTAAACCTCTAGGTACACTCCCCAGGAGAAGCCCCGGCAGTTCGAAGTCCCTGAAGGTATGCGCAATCGCGGCAGAGCCTGACAAAGCAGCTCGAGACTTTCGACGTGCGGCAGTCCAGGCATCAGCGGAGTTTTTAGGGTTTAGGGCTTAGGGACCAAATGCACCCTTTATTCGGGTCATATACCCTAAGAATTCTGATAATCCTTATTCAAGTTTATATATATATATATACATATACATGACCCCATTTCGGGTCATATACACTAAAGACTATGATAATCCTTGTTGAGGTAGATGGAGTAGATGGATCCAAAGACCCCTTTTAGGGTTCATGTGGTCCAACACCCTGGCAAGCAGCGCACCCAAAAAAAACATTCGGCGTCGGCGGAGTTTGCAGGATTTTTTTTGGGAGCCAGGGGGGAGAAACGTTTAGGGTTTAGGGTTAGGGTTTAGGGTTTAGGGTTTGGGGTTTAGGGACTTTGGCAGGATGTGGAGGGGCTCTGGGATGCTTAGAAGGGCTTTCGAAGGCAGGAAGGTAGGAACAAACCCTAAACCCTAAACCCTAAACCCAAACCCCAAACCCTAACCCTAAACCCTAAACCCTCCCAGAGCGTCAGACTCAAGCCCTGCCTGCGGTTCGGCGAGTTATGCGGGAGCGAAAAAAAAACCCTAAACCCTAAACCCTAAACCCTAAACCCTAAACCCTAAACCCTAAACCCTAAACCCTAAACCCTAAACCCTAAACCCTATTCAGATCTCCGAGGTGCGCTTTTGAGTCGGATCGTGAGACAGTCTACGAGACCATCCGCGAGTGGTTCACGGATCTGGATGCATTCAATGACAATGTCAGGCGGCACGTCCGTGACCACGTGGCGGGTTCCCTCGGCCCCGAATTCCACTTCCCCAAGAGGCTCACTTTTCCTCCGATGTTGTTTAGCGTGCTCTCGCAACTGGATAGCATCGCTGCTGGCGACTTTGAGACGCAGACGTTGTATAAAATCTTTGCCTTTGTTTCCGACGTTGCACGATTGGGCGCACTGATACCTATGTTTATTGTGCTGGCTTACTGCTTCGCCAAAATGGCCCGGCGCTGGCTGGCACTGACGCTCTGGGTGACGTGCTCGCTGAGTTTCTTAGTAGCTGAATGACGTACACCTTGCACTTCGTGGGGACGCCACAATCCCCTACAGAACTGAAAGCGTACACGTTTTTTGGGGCTTATGAACTCAGCAACTAAGGTTTGCAGATCCTCTTCACATTCGGAGAGCAAGTTCTGCAGGAAGGGGTGCCAGTGTGGGTGGGCGTTCTCGAGGTGCTATCGCAGTGGTTGATGTATGTACTGCTGCTCCTTGCTGGCCCAGGTGTACCCTTTTGCCCCCTTTTTTTGGTTTCAGGGTTCCCTTATAAAGTAACCACCAACCCACCAACCCCCCAAAGAATGGGTACCCTTATATGGCTACCCTAAACCCTGAACCCTGGACCCTGTGCTCGGCGGGTGGCAAAACAAACCGCAAGGCACCCTTATTCTAATATGGTTACCCTAAACCCTAAACCCTCACCAGAATATGGTTACCCTAAACCCTAAAAACCCTTATTGTAAGACGGTTTTTGGGCTGCCAAGGCTCGAAGCTTCTCAGATGCTTGCCGCAGCAAGGAGGAGGTGGGCCCTTGGTGGCTGATTCAGGGCGCAAAGTTCCGCGCAAAATTCCTTCTCTCCGCGTGAACTGTGGCGGAGCAGGGTTAGGGTTTAGGGTTTAGGGTTTCCCGGCACGCTCACCCAAGCCTGGATGCAAAAAAGGGTTTAGGGTTTAGGGCTCAGGGTTTAGGGTTTAGCTGACGATGACAAGCCCTTACGTTGTTTGCAGCTAAGGGCGTAGTGAGTAGGGATGATCAGGGTATATTGGGTTTGGCACTGTATACACCTACTGGCATGATGACTCGCTTGCGGCACACTTCATCGGATCAGGAAGGACCTGCGGATTCAGCGTCAGTCCTTCCTCATCTTACTGGTGCTGAATGGGGAATTCGGGAAATGTGCCTGGCCCCCCTGTAGGAGAGCAAATTGGATAACGAAATTCCCAAATTCCCTACTCAGGGCCAGTAAGTTCTTGAACAGCAGCAGTTTCAATCAGTTGGTGGGTGCTCCTGATGCCAGCCGTGCCCAGCCTTTGTTCATCCATCAACCCGCAATCATACGGCAATAGCATCAATTCTGGGCACTTTTCGGGGTACCGAGTATTCGGCTCCGTGTTGCAAGAGTTGCCGGCTAGAAATGCTAGAAATGGTCCAACTCGGCTGGGCACCAAATGTACAGAGCTCGGGCACATGTTTCAGCCGCCCGCAGGCCTGGCAGCCTTAGAAACCCCTGACTGATGCTGCAAGAGTAGACGGATGCCGCGTTATTTGAAGATGCGTGGAACCCACATACCTGAAAGGAGGGGGAGGGGCTAGGAGAGAGATGGAGAGAAGGGGACTGCTCGACCAAGCTCCTTAAAAGACAAAGAGATCGCGAGAGAGAGAGAGAGAGAAGTAAAGAAAGAGAGAGAGAGAGAGAGAGAGAGAGAGCCAGAGAGAGAGAGAGAAGCCCCAATTGGGGCCGGCTCACGGGAAGGAATCACTCCTCAGGAGGTCAAGGCGAGACGAAGATAGCCGGCCACTGATGCTCCGACGGTGTAGTTTTTTTCGGCTGCCCTGACAGCCTTGTTTCACTACGATCAAAGCAGCAACCAGAGGCTGAAGAGAGGTGAAATGGTCACGTATCAGGCCAGGCATGGATATCAGGGCTTCTTAAATCGTAGCTATTTCCCGATACAAGAGGTGGGGTACCTCTCTTGGGAGTTCCTACACGCTAGTTTGGTACATACCCATGTTAGTCTTCAAGGTGAACCGTGTCCGTCCATGATGTTGCAGGGTTTAGGGTTTAGGGTTTAGGGTTTAGGGTTTAGGGTTTAGGGTTTAGGGTTTAGGGTTTAGGGTTTAGTGTTTCCCGCAAGAGCGAATGCCACTGTGTCACGCTTTGGCGTTTGGCCTGCAGCTGCTACAAGGTTCAGTGACCAACTTGCATACTTAAATTGAGACCTCCGGGAGAGTTGCATCAGGAAGTAAACCGCACACCGATCTCGCAACACAGTCCGCTGCCACATCGAGGCTAGGCCATGAGCTGCGATGCCCTAACTTTACGGCTTAGGGTTTAGGGGGTCAAAGCTGGCGAAGCGTCTATGTCCCATGGCGCCTGGCTTCTGTCACCAATGCTCCAAGGTTCGTAGACGGGCGTCGGCTCTTTTTTTGAGGGACTTCGATGCATTGAAGCCCGTCTCAGTTCTTCGTCCGATGTGACGGCTGCTCGTTCGGACCCTAAACCCTACAAATCCTAAACCCCACACCCCAAACTCCAGACCCGAAGACCAAAACCCAAAACCCTGACCATAATCGAGCCCCTGATGCTCCTGCAGGACGTCGAGGCAGAGGCGACCGAGTCGGGCGACTTTCGCTGCCCGACGCTGGGCTGGGAGACACCACCTCTCGGGGGCCTTATAATGGGCCACTCCTGAATTTCGGTTTTTGGGGTTTAGGGTTTGGGGTTTAGGGTTTCGGGTTTAGGGTTTGGGGTTTAGGGTTTAGGGCTAGGGCAAGTTCAGGGGCAGGCCTTGTATGCACAGGGGCCAGGGGCGACTTGCGGACTGGGCCCCGCAGGCCCCGCAGGGTTTCGGGTTTAGGGTTTAGGGTTTAGGGTTTAGGGTTTAGGGTTTAGGGTTTAAGGTTCTTAAGGTTTTGGGCTCTAATGACAGAGTTCGTAAGACTTGGGTTCGGGGTTCCCAGCTTCAGTCTTTTCCGGCGACTCCCAAACACCACAGAATGGTCGGTTAGAACCCCCTCATCATAAGGCATTACATAACTTAAACCCCCAGAATATTAGGTCTTGGTAGCCCAGTGGTACCCTTTTCACTTTTTTTTGGCTCAAGATTTCCTTATAAGGTGTCCAACCCAAAAAGGGTGCCCTTATTACAATATGGTTGCTGGGCTACCAGGAGGTATATGGAGTCCCCCGGTCAGGCAAATCGGACATTGCCACGCCTGGCAGGATTTAGGGTTTAGGGTTTAGGGTTTAGGGTTTAGGGTAGCGCTGTGATGGTTAAGTTTCCTTTTGTAATCTAGGGGTCGGAAAAAGTACTCATCGCATTCCCTTAGGGTCCCGTTATAATTCTACCATAATAACGCTTAAGAACCCTATTCTAATTCTTCAATCCCCTATAGTACAAGTTACCCTAAAAGCCCTAAACCCTAAACACCTCAAAAACCCTAAACCCTAAACCCTAAACCCTAAACCCTGAACCCTAAACCCTAAACCCTAAACCCTAAACCCTAAACCCTAAACCCTAAACCCTAAACCCTAACCTAGGGAGTGCAACACGACGGGCTACGTCGAGTGTGGCGAGCGTAGCACGGAGCCAGGCGGCACCGGCATGCACTTAGTTGATGGGTTTAGGGTTTAGGGTTTAGGGTTTATTGTTTAGGGGTACAAGCCTTGCAGGGATGTTAGTTGATGGGTTTAGGGGTAAAAGCAGTCTTGGTTGCAAAAGGGTTTAGAGCCGAAACCCTAAATCCTAAGCCCTACACCCTATTAACCCTATTAACCCTATTAACCCTATTAACCCTATTAACCCTATCAACCCTATTAACCCTATTAACCCTATTAACCCTATTAACCCTATTAACCCTATTAACCCTATTAACCCTATTGACCCTATTAACCCTATTCACCCTATTAACCCTACTAACCCTACTAACCCTAAACCCTAAAGCCTGAACCCTATGCCGGGGAGGAACTCCTGGTGGCAACCCTCGGGCCGCGATGCCACCCTTGTTCCGCAACGGCGCAGCTCGGCTCCTTTCGGCCTTTCAGGCTTTGAAGATTAGGGTTTAGGGTTTAGGGTTTAGTGTTTAGGGTTTAGGGTTTAGGGTTTAGGGTATCCAGGTGTCTCTGGAGCTGAAGTCTGATTTCTTTCAGCAGTAGAAGAGCATGACCTAGGAAGGGTCAGCTGAGAACTTTTGGGGTATAGAGAATCCTACCATACTTGAAAGGGCTTTTTGTGGGCCCAAACCCTAAACCCTAATTACACCCCAGATTACCCATCAACTAGGGGACAGTTCCCCGGTGATGTGTAGCAGCACCGGGAGGTCCTAAACCCTAAAACCGAAACCCTAAACCCCAAACCCTAAACCCTAAACCCTGCTCAGGAAACCATGGTGTCGGCATTTGGCCACTTCCTGCAGGGCATGGTAGGCTCGGACGAGCGGCACGTTAACCAATGAACTTCTTAAACGTAGGGTTTAGGGTTGAGGGTTGAGGGTTTAGGGTTTAGGGTTAAGGGTTAGGGTTTAGGGTTTTGGGTTTAGGGTTTAGGGTTAGAGGGTTTAGGGCTCCTGTTTGTGGCTATCACTGTCTTGTGAATATCATGAGATGGAGCGAAGTGAGTTGAGTCTTTGGTTGCGGCAGATATCGCGCAGAGCCCAGATGCAAAAAGAACAAAGGGCTCCTACACAGAAGCCTGCAGAATGGCTGAGAACCTCTTGCAGCCAGTCTTTTGAGGAGCGTCACCCAGAGTAGGCAGTTATTTTATTTAATTTCTAATTTTTAGTTTTATTTATTTATTTATTTATTTATTTTTTTTGGGGGGGGGGGGGCGGGGTGGTTTAGGCTCCCTTATCAGCCCCTGTAAACCAAAAACGGTGCCCATTTTATTCCTAGGTTAGTCTCGGGTCGAGTTCTAGTCGTTGACTTGCTGTAGCAACCTTCCCGAGTCTCATGTGCAATCCTTCTGCGTGGTGCGCCCGAGACGTGTGGCCCATATGAAGGTTCCGAAACTTATTCTAAGGAGATCCTACTAGTTGGGGATCTATAGTGGGGTCCCCCTATTTTCGTAAACCTCAAGATGCCCACCGTTGAATTAGCACTCTCTACCAGGACGGGCCCCCTTACTCTACTACTGTAGCCCTTTTTCGCTCTACTTATGACTCGGGGGGCCCTCCTTGTACCTCCTTGTAGTCTCTAGGCTATCAGGCTCAGGTTCAGAGGCTGTCCTGGTGGGGTGGGGGGCGGTGGGGGGTGTGGGGGGGGGGGGGGGGGGGGGGGGGGGGGGGTGGGGGGGGGCGTGTGGGGGGGGGGTGTGCGGGGGGGTTGGGGGTGGGGGGGGGGTTGGGGGGGGGGGGGGGGGGGGGGGTGGGTGGGGGGGGGGGGGGGGTGGGGGGGGGGGTGGTGGGGGGGGGGGGGGGGGGGGGGGTGGGGGGGGTGGGGGGGGGGTGGGGGGGTGGGGGGGGGGGGGGGTGGGGGGGGTGGGGGGGGTGGGGGGGGGTGGGGGGTGGGGGGGGGTGGGGGGTAGGGTACTAATATTGTTCGTTCATCACAGGTTAGGCTTAAATTATGCCAACTCGTAAAATATTGTTCGTTCATCACATGGTAAATATAAAAAATTGAAGTAGTATGGAGATTAATTATACAAATTGCGCGCTGAAAACATCCTATTAGTAACGAACTTTTGCGCGCTGAAAATATTATCATTAAAAAAATTGATACACATAAAAGGTAGGGTTTGGGGTTCGGGCTTCAGGGATTTCCGGCCTGATGCAAAAGGGTTGAGGGTTTAGGGTTTAGGCTAGTCACACCAAGGGTTCTGTTTAGGGTTTAGGGTTTAGGGTTTAGGGTTTAGGGTTTAGGGTTTAGGGCTCCAAAGCTTGTCGAGGTGCGCTGGACCAACCGCAGGGCTCGCGGGGAATCGATGGCCTGCAGCAGCCAGGCCCTCAGGAGGAACTTAGCGCGGCCAGTGGCAGCAATCATGTGGGGGTTTACGAAAAATAGGGTTTAGGGTTTGGGGTTTTAGGGTTTTAGGGTTGTAGGGTTGTAGGGTTTAGGGTTTAGGGTTTAGACCCCCAAATGGTAGGATTCCCTTAGAATATGGAAACCAAGAAGGCGCCCCCTAATATCGTAAACCCCCATATAAGAATCAGAGTAACCACCATTGTAGTCGTAATTCGTGTTTGTCCTCTTAGTATTACTATAGGGAGCCCAATGTAATATTGCGAGCATTGTATTCATGGTGAGTAGTGTTGCTTCAAAAATTGTGTTTTCTTCCACGATAAGGCTGCTTACTGATGTAAGGTAGATTCCTTAGCTCCCTGAGAAGCGACCTCCCCCAGTAACATCGGCTAGCAGGGAAAGCTTGGGGGCGTAGTGGTTCTTGGCAGGTTTGTTGCATAGCCATAATTCAGTCTGAGTCTGTTTTGGCCTGCTTTCCCTTGACAAAGTGAGGGCCCTAAACCCTAAACCTTAAACCCTTTTCTCTAAGCCCCGTGTGCGCAGAGTTGAGTTTTCGCACTTGAAGACCGAGGAGTTTTCTGGGGGCGGTTGTCCGGAGCTAAGTACCTGGCTGGTGCCGAATATTCCGGCAACCGACACAGTTGTTGAAGGAAGCACAGCCTCTGTTAATAGAAGTGATATGTAAGGGCAGACGGTTGTGACAAAAGAAAGTCCGCTTCATAGGTTCATGGAGTTCAGGAAGGATGCACACCTTGATGTCTTGTCGGCTTCGTCGTGCATATTTGTCAGTCGAAAGGTTAGCCCTCAAGCCTACGTGCAGAATAGCATGACAATCACAAGTTTTGGTTCAGCCCCCGTGGCTCTAAACCCTGAACCCCAAACCCTAAACTAAACCCTAAACCCTAAACCCCAACGGCTCTTGCATGCCATGCAGGGCGCGAGAGGGCCCACTCCTCCTCCCCCCAAAAAAATACTAAAAAGAGGTTTTGGGTTTCAGGTTTGGGGTTTCGGGTTCAGGGTTTGAGGGTAAAGGAGCCTACCCAAGATCATGAGAGGGATCCTACATCAGGGCACATTCCCTAGTTGTGGGGCATTGGGCTCTCCTTGGCTTGGGACAACAGCCCTGTCAATCCTCTTGCATAGGCGAGCGGCGTGGAGCGAGCGGTGCAACGTACGGAGGCCCTTTGGAGGTGAAATTGATAATAATATAACAAGTAGTATACTAACTAGTATAACAATATGGTTGTATAACAGTATAGCCAGTGTAGCCACACGTAGAAGAAGAGAATAGTATAATCGTTTTATCATGTAATTATCTCAAGCTAGTCATGTAAATAGTGCCGCCTCTAGTATTCATGAAGAAAGGGGGGGGGGCCTTCCCTCAACCAGGGTGTCCTATTGGGGTTCCAAGACGGGGTATTGTATGGTGGGGATGTGCTTGAATGCAAAAAAGGTAGATGCTAGTGCACCTGGCGTAAGTTTTGGGGGTTGCAATCAGCCCGTCGAACCACGAAAGGTTAGCACACTCGAAGGAGGTGGCCCCATACCATTCCGTGGTTCAACTATCATAATCCCCCTAAAACCCTATTCTGATTACTTAGGCCCCTATATTATAGGGTTCCCTCCAGGGTTTTAAAGGGTTTCCAGGTTCGACCCCGGCTTTGCTGGTGGGATCTTACGGATTTGGGCTTGTCCGTTGGGCCCTGAATGAAGCTCCTGGGGCCTCAACTCCTCCGCCACCCCCACTCCCCCAAAGCTCAACTTAGGGCACCTCTAAGCGATTGGAGGTGTCAATAAGGTGGGGCAGGGGGGGGATGCTTGAATGGAGAGGCTCGAGTATCTGAGAGCTGAGACTTAACCCGAGGTAGCACTCTAGACCCCGCCAAAAACCCTGCCAACATACCTTCCACCCACTGGCCACCAGCCCTAAACCCTAAACCCTAAACCCTAAACCCTAAACCCTAAACTCTAAACCCTAAACCTAAACCCTCCCAGCCACTGGTGAGTGCAGGGCCTCTCAGATGCTGACCGCCAATGGGTCCAGCGACAGGGATCCAGGGTGACTGCTTTTGCTGCAGGCTGCGCCGGGGGCTGACCTTTGAGGCTCTCCTTTCGGGGTTTGAGGGGTTGGGGTTTAGGGTTTAGGGTTTAGGGTTTAGGGTTTAGGGTTTAGGGTTTAGGGTTTAGGGTTTAGGGTTTAGGGTTTAGGGGTGTTTGAGGATGTCAGGTTTGGGGCTAGTGCGGGCTTAAGCCCTCAACCCATGGTGCTCAAAAAGGGCATGCTCGAGCCTTGAGTGTATAGCATTTCATAGCGCTTACCGCCCCCAGAGACCTCTTGCGCAGTTTGAGGTCTATATAATTAAGGAGTATACCCTAGTCCATTAACTAAGGATTAATATGGACTAGGGTATACTGCGTATTCTTCATGTGTTTCTGGCGCCCTGGGGAATGCAACGCTCAAAGTTGTGCAACTCCTGGCTTGCCAGTGATTTCTGCGTCTTGCCTTGTTCGGAGAACGGGTGGGGGGACACTTCCGGGTTTCTGCACAGAAGCCTGTTGCCAAAAGGGTTTGGGTTGGGATGTTCCCCATTTTTCAACAGTCCTTCATGGGGATGTTTATAGTGGGTACTCTAACCCTTTTTAAGGACTGTAACAGTCCTTGATAAGGATTATAGTACCCCCCCCCCCCCCCTATTTAAATCCGCATTAAGGACTGTTACAAAACCTTGGGATGTTGCCCCTTATACTAACAGTGTTAGTATAAGGGGCAACATCCCAAGGTTTAGGGTTTCATTAGGGTTTAGGCTACGGGCTTGGGGTTACAGGTTCGGGGATAGCATGGGTTCAGCAGAGACCTCTAGACACTGCTGTAATCTACGCATGCAGCAGGGTGCAACCTGCACATGCCCAACCATTCACAAATGCCGAGGGTGGAGTGGGGGTGGTTGAAGATGGTCATGTGTTTAATGCAGCCCTTTCTTTCAACCTCGGAGCCTTACCCTGTAAAGCTAGCTAGTTTAGAAGAAGCTCCGCATTCTCTCTCCCTAAGCCCTCAATTTGTCACGCAAGCAGGACGGGATTGCCAGGGTTAGATTCCAAACGCTTCTTGATTCTCCACGGCCTTCGGTTTGCAGCAGCACAACGGATGTTGAAATGATGATGGCAGGTGGCTTCGACCTGCTGAGATGCTTGGTCGATTGTGGACAGCTGAGAGAGAGAGAGAGAGAGAGAGAGAGAGAGAGCGAACCGGGACAGAACAGCGGGCCAGCGTGGCCGGGGTCCTCTTCGGGGCCTCTTCGCTGAGCAGAAGAAGAAGAAGAGAGAGCGAGCTAGCTTGTGAGCCCCCTAAACCCTAAGCCCTAGACCCTGAACCCTAAACCCTAAATCGCACGTCCAGTGCGACTGTAGCCCTTAAAGCAGAGCTTGTGTAGGTTCGGCCTGGAGCGGTAACGAACCCCCCAAAACGGGCAGGTCTTAAAAGTTGCTGGTCGTTTTGTCGTTTTGATAAACCTTAAACCCGAAAGCCTAAACCCTAAACCCTGAACCCCCCTTGTCTTGGGGTTGTTGCCCTGGCACCGGCCTTTTGGCTTGCTCAGTCTTGCCTACCACCTGCCATAGATCGGCGGTTTATCAGCCCCATAAACATTAACTAGTTTGGGGTAGTTTGTTTTTTGGGGGGGTTTTGGCTGCATCTGACTCAGAACTACTACTAGCTCAGGGTTAAGTAAGGGCTTAAAGCCTTTGGCTTCAGGTTACATCAGTGCCTGCTCTTTGCCAAGTGGTCATGATTGTAACCTCACGCTTCGCAGGCCAACCCTGAACCCTAAACCCTAAACCCTAAACCCTAGGGCTTGCGTTGAAAGAGTGCTTGTGTCTGAGATTCAGCGGCCAGAGCGACCGGAGGGCTCAACCATCTATATGTCTACTAAGAAGTACTTATGGCTGAGTAAGGTAACCTCTGTCCTTTTGGGGTATATGTAATCCTACCAGGATTGAAAGGTTAAGCTTTTTTGGCCCAGGGTATTCAGCAAGAAGGAGGAAGAGCAAGAGGTCTTGTACTAGTACCAGTTATTCTCATTCTGGTTGCTTTTATTTTCTTGGGATGATTATTGTTATCAATTTTGTTCTTGTTGGGTTGTTTATAAGGGTGCTTATTGTTGTTGCAAATATCTTGTTGTTCTTGAAGTACGTAGTTCTCTAAATTCGGGACGCTTCTCGGGTCCCCTATAGAGTGCGGCCCCCCTCTGAGTCCCCCATGAAATGCGCGTCGGCGACTGAGACTGGTCTGATGCTCTTACGAGAGAATTCTTGGCGTTGCCCCAAGGATCCATGTGCCATCATGTGCCTATACAGTAGTATGGGCCCTTAACAGGAGACCCCTTATGTGCCCCTTTTGTACCCAATACAACCCAAGGGCCCCTGCTTCAAAGGAGGTAAGGGACCATATTTTGGGCCGATATACACTTAGATCTTCAGGAGGGAAGTAGAAGGAGGCAGGAACTGTCCCCTATGTGTGTCAACCCTGCAGCACTCATATCGCAAGCGTGGGGCGCACTTGCAAGCCCGACAAGGGTTGAAGTGCCACTCATATAGCTGCCCTAAACCCTAAACCCCAAACCCACACCCTAAACCCCAAACCCCTAAACCCTAAACCCTAAACCCCCCCAGGAAATGCCGGGCCCTTGCGCGAGTTCCTAGAGCAGCAGCTCGGCCCACACTGGCAGACGCAGCGGTCTGGCCTGGATCCAGGTGAGCCCCTGTAGACGGGTTTCTGAAAATATCTTGGGTTTAGGGTTTAGGGTTTAGGGTTTAGGGTTTAGGGTTTAGGGTTTAGGGTTTAGGGTTAGGGTTTAGGGTTTAGGGTTTAGGGTTTAGGGTTTAAATTTAGGGTTTAGGGTTTAGGGTTTAGGGTTGAGGGTTTAGGGTTTAGGGTTTAGGGTTAGGGCTTAGGCTTTTTGGGTGTTGGGTTTAGGGTTTTGGGCATCGTGCCAGCTGACGTAAAGAGTCTGGGTTCAAAAGAAAGGTTTTGGGACATTTCTTGTCCAGCATCCCGGGGTCCTCTCCCTTGAAAAGCTCTCCTTGCTAACCGAAGAGGGTTTTGAAAAACACTCTTTTTTAAAAACCGTTGTCTTCCAGCGACTTAAGTTTTTTTTGTTTAAACCTCTTCTTCTAGTGACTTAAGTTTTTTCTAAACCCTTTCCTGTCAACAGGCTAGCTATTTGAGGAGATCCACCGTGGAAGGGTGCAACTATCTTTCTGACACCCCCGTGTGGACTGGTTTAGTGCCTGGAGTCGATCCGTCAGTTGGGGCTTCAAGGGTGGCAAAGAGCCACTTTTAGCGTTTAGGGTTTAGGGTTTAGGGGTTTAGGGGTTCAGGGGTTTAGGGGTTTAGGGGTTTAGGGGTTTAGGGGTTTAGGGGTTTTGGGGTTTTGGGGTTTTGGGTTGGGGTGTAGGGTTTGCTTTTGCTACTGCTGATGGCATCCCAAAGTTCATGTTCTTTTGGAAGTTGCGCGACAACAGGCTGGTGTGACAAGCGCGAGATGCAGCTTGAGACGCTAGATGGGGCGAAGATTGCCCTAACCCCAAACCCCAAACCCCAGACCCCAAACCCTAAACCCTAAACCCCAAACCCTAAACCCTAAACTCCG